TGGTCAGAATCTCCAAATATTTATACTGCTGAGATTTTTGAGAAGATGTGACATAAAGCCGCTTTAGGGTGATTAAGCCAATCCTGACATTTTGGAGGATCCTGGATTGTGAATAATGGCAGTTTCAAGAGCAAGTTAGTGATTATTTATGAAAATGTCTGGCTAGGTATGGGGTAGATTATCAGGTTTCATTAAGACAGTTGTAATCTAAGATAGTCCTTGTTCTGAAGAAGTTTGCCATTCCAATTAGGAGGTGATGGAAATTGTTCCTCTGATAATGTTATTGAAATATTGGCAACAGAACTAGGTTCCTGAGAGCAGGAATGAGGAAACGGTCCTGTAACAGAAATAGAAAAATCAGGAAAAGATACCACTGGGAAGACTGACTGGACTCTTAATTGTCTTCTGCTTCCTTTTTCTCCTTTTATGGAAAGAAACGAATTTGTGCCATTTACAATATTAGAAAATGACTTTTTAAGTCTTTTTATCCCTTACACAAAGGAACAATAAAATTTCACCTCCTTCTACATATTTTATAAAGCATTAAAATCTTTCCTCTTGCTCATTGATCCTTACTTCTCTACAGGCTTTTAATCTTTCTAGATGTTTTATATACCATTAGAACTCGGCCTGATGCAGCTGAGTGCTCCTGTACGCAATCGCTACTCTAGCTGACAACACCAAGGCTGCAAGTGGTGCCTCAAAGCCACACCGAAGATGGCAATTATCAAGTTTTGTCAGCAGCGACATTTTCTTCCTTTAAAGACAGAGGGAAAACCATAAAGCAGAGCATTCCAGATGTGAACTTTCTCAACAACTATAAAGACACTACCTGTAAAACCTTACAATGTCAGAAATAGAAAGAATGCCCTTGGCAGAGAAAGTGCTGTTGATTTTGATACAGACTGTACTACTCTGGTATCTTTCCCTGGGTTTTTATTTAATTTGGCCCTTAAAGCCTCCTGTGAAGTCATGTTTGTTCAGCTCTGGGAATCTGCTAGCAGCAATTCCTGATCATTAGCAGCCCTTTCATTGGCTCCTCATAAAAAAGTAGGTTTCTGAACTTGTCTGCTTCCATTTTTAAGTCAATCTCTGCCTTCCTATCAGTCAAAAGGTAGTTTTGTTTTGTTTTGTTTTGTTTTTCCCCCTACATGGACTCTGGGGAAAAAAAGGAAACTACAACATTGCCTGCACTTAAAATAGAGACTCCAGGACAAAACCAAAATAAAGAGCACTATTTTACTTAAGCTCTTCTGCCTTGACTAAACCCATGTGAAGAACTCATTACTGATTAATGTCATTGAGGTAGAACAGCAGTAACAGAAGTGAAACTGAAGTTCATATGCGCAGGCACATACAATTACACAAAAGCACAATGTAGACAAATGTGCATTTGATCTTAAATTATCTTGACAATGGAAACAATCTTTGTTCCTTTATCAACTCTAAGCACATTAAAACATTCTTATAAAAGCATGTGTCTGTAAGTTCAAGTTAAGAATATAAAAATCTTTTAATTTTAAGTTCTTACATTTACCATTTTTAATGGCAACATGTCCTGCGTTCTTCTAAACAAAAAATAAACTTTCATCATGCCTTTAATTACTTTCAAATGATTAAACAGAGGGATATGTAAGTCAGCACATCAATTTCCTAAAATACATTTAAAACAAAAAAACTTGTCTTATGTTGTAGTAGGCTTGAATTCTAGGGCATAAAGTACCATAATTATTCCCACTCCTACTTCTGTACAACTGTCAAGCCATGAAAATGCTTCACAGCTTCACTATCTAAGGGACTATTCAAGAAATGGAAACTTAGAATATGCTCATACTTCTGGGAAGAAAGTACTACAGAACAAAATTTAAATGGAATTACACAATAAGCAAGATGTTCCTGTGGATGGGTAGGTTTGGTACTGTAGTGTGTCTGGACAGGGGCACTGTGTGTGACATTATGCTGCTTAGTATTTATAATATGAAGCTATATGGCCAATGCCAATTGCACTTAGATCTTTAATTTAGTGACCTGGCCAAGAATATATGCTGTGTCTGCTATAAGTTTAAGAAAATAAAGATTTAGAAATGTTATGCTAGTAATTGTTTCATGTCCAACTGACTGGAAAAATTAATCAAGACAAAAACTGGTGTTTTATAATGTTCACCCATTTCCCAGGTACAAAAGAACCTGTTGTGGCTGATTTCAACTTGCAATATGGCGCTGTTGAGAAAAGCAATACCCATTTGGCTATTCAGCCTCACTGATTGTGTTCTAACATACCAATTCTGCACCTTCTTTGTACTTGGAATTAGTTTCGTGGAACAAAATTTTTCTACATATGAGTGATGGTGGTCATGGTAGTGGCTATGGTGGTGGTTGTGGTGGCTGTGGTGGTAACTCTAGTAGTGGCCATTGTGGTAGTCATGGTGGCAGTCATAGTGGTGGTTGTGGTGGTTCCTGTGGTGGTATTACTGGTGGTGATCATGGTGCTAATGGTGGTGGCTGTGATGGTAGTCATGATGGTGATCATGGTCATGGTCATGATGGCGGTCTTTGTGGTAGTTTGGGGGATGACTCAAGTGCATTCCATTTCTTTTGCTCTTTATTTCCATCATAACACTGTACCCTTCATTTTTAGTATTAATACATTAGATTTTCCTAGACCTCTTGTACACACATTTCAGTTAGGTTCATGCTCCTATGAGATTCTAATGATTATCTGACAGGATGGGGCCTCAGTGAGGAATGCTAGTAATGGAGACACTATAAATCATACTTCACTCAGGCACCTGCTGCTTACTTCTGGTTGTACAACTCTGTCCCCAGATAGCCCAATCTGTAGTCCAGGGATGAAGTCCCTGTCTTAGCACATCGCTGGAACTTGGTGAGAAAGGTTCAGAGGTGTACTGACCATCTTAATAGGAATGACAGAAATTTGATGTTACTTCAGCCCAACATCCCAGCAAAGAGGTGAAGGTATGCATGGAAAGAGCTCAATATGCATGAAAAACTTTGCCTGTGCAGTGCAGAATTTAATGCAGACATGAGTGTCCACAGAAAAATGACTAGAGGGAAAAATACCAAAATGCTACTAATGTTTGTATCCTAAGTTTTTTTTTCTTAGGATAGTGGCTGTTCTTGTTTTTATTAACCATATATCATTAATTTTTCTTATCTTTAACACTTAGGCATGAGTTTGGTGGTAAAAATGGAAGACAGCACAAAACTTGGTGACATACAAAGGTCACAAAAATTCAAATTGAATTATACAGTGGAAGACTAATGTGCTGTATTATTTGCTTAATTTGTACTTATTCTTCTTATATCTGTTTAATACCTAAAATAAAGATGCATGCAAAATAAAAAATATTATACAGTAGAGTTTCTCTGTTCTACTTGTTTAACTATTATATTTATGGGATATGAGATTCTATCTCCAAGAATTGTTGGAGAAAATTACAGACAGACTAAGCACAACCTACTCTTGGCATTTTTATGGAAGTTTCCTTTGCTGAGGATACTGCCTGCCTGTCATGGTGCTGCTGGCTAGACAACATGAGGAAAATAAAATTCTAGACGTTCTAAGGAAAGTCATGTCTGTCTGCTTCCTTGGCATCCTTAAATTGGCATACCTCCTAAGAAGGTATTCCTGGCACTAATAACATTTTCTCTTGGGAGTTTTGTTCATCAGAGAACTTTGTGAACAAAAAATATAAATTAAAGAGTCTTCATTATTTCTCAGATCTTTGCTGTTCAAAGCATCCACCAGCCCACAGTACTTGCATTAGGTCAGGGTGATAGCTCAGTGGGATAAGTGCCTACCTGGCAAGTACAAGATCCCAAGTTTGACCTTTGGTAACCCCCAAAGAAAATAGTTGGAAAATTTTTGAAAAACCGTATTACAATCTCAAACTCAGAAGAAGTGATTCAGAACCTTGATTTATCAAAATATGCTCAGGTGCTTTGAGTGTACATTAAAGCTTAAGAGATGTTACTCAAATTTCATGTGTGAAAGCTCTTAGGTGATAGGGGAAATTCTCTTTTCTTGAAAATCTATATATTCTTTCTAAGGTTAGACTCTGTCTTCCAAGCTCACTAAAGCTAATGTCCGTCAGAATGCAGCGAGGTACGGCCTTTCCTCAGTGCTAGGGACTCGTGCTGTGCCCACATTAAGGCTGATATGGTCATGGCAGTGTGCACGACAAGACTTTGCCTGTGCAGTACAGAACTGGATGCAGACATGCGTGTCCACAGAAAAATGACTAGAGGGAAAGATACCTAAATGCTACTAATGTCTGCATCATCATAACCGAGTTTCGGACTCTATTCTATTTTCTTCTTTTAAAAGAAAGCCTCCTAGTGGCTGGGGAGATGGCTCAGTGGAATAAGTGCTTCCCTGGCAAGCTCAAGGACCTGAGTTCAATCCCCGGTTCCACCAAAAAAAAAAAAAAAAAAAAAAAAAAAAAAAAAAAAAAAAAAGAAAGAAAGCCTCCAGATTTCACAAAGAAAGAACCAAATATAGAAACTCCCTATGAGTTTCTCTAATGATGCCCTCTATAGGTAGTTACTTGGGTGACTTACATTATATTCTAGATAGCACTGTTATTACTGTTGTTAGATATTTTGAAAATTAGTTTAGCCTCTGTTTTCACCACTTACCACTCATCTCTGTGAACATAAGGAATGTTTCTGACAATACATAGAAATAAGTAGTGCTCGATAAATACTTATTGTTTGAGTGAATATATAGGATGGTTTGACATAGCTCAATCAGGAGTATCTATAGACTGTAAAGTTAGTGAAATAACAGTTTTCCAACCCTTCTCCTTTTAAAGCAATTTTATTTCTTCAATTTCTCCTACGTATTACCCAGTTTTTTTGTTACAGCATATAATATTTTCTTTTTCTCTTTCTTCTCTCAGGAAGCTCAGTATCTTGTTATTTTTCTCATTGCTGGGATATTTATCTGACACCCACCCATAATTAAAAGAGGAAAGTCTGTGCTTGCTTGGGCAGCATATATACTAAAATTGGAATGATACAGAGAAGACTAGCATGGCCCCTGCACAAAGATGATGCACAAACTCGTGATCATTCCATATTTTTAAAAAAGAAAGAAAAAGAGGAAAGGTTTATTTTGACTCACAGTTTGTAGCAGTTTCACTCCCTGGCAGACTGCTACTGGGTGAGGTGGTGTGGCATCCCAGGTTTTACAGAAGAGAAGCAGTCTGTGGTGTGGCAGGTGAAGGCACCAAGCTGGGAACCTGCCTTTTGCTTTTCTCCCATCCAGGTTAGAAGCCTTTTAGGTGGTACCAGCCACATCCAGGGTGGAGTTTCTGATTTCAGTAAATCCATTCACCCACACCCAAGAACTGCACTGGTCCCAATTAGTGGAATAATTTAGCACCACACATCCTAATACCAGGATCACAAATCCTACATCTCAGGAAAGCCCCACCTATGGTGGCCTGAGGCTTTGGAGAAACATCTAGATACAACCCACACCCTCAGCCATGCAGCGTAAGATAAATCAAAAGCCTCAGTTTGTGGGAAACTTACCTCATTGTGCCATATTTGCAGTCTCTCTTTTTATTCTTTGACTTGTTTTCAATAACATACATCCATTTGCAAGCTTATTATTTTATATAATGACAAATATGACAACAATCTGAATAGACCTCTATGTTTTTCCTTGTTCTCAATGAACTATGTTTAATTTTATATTTATTAGACACTCATTTAATATAATTCTATGGCATATGTACTTAAGTTAAATAACATGTTTACTTTTCTTATTTTAGAACTCCATGAAGAAGGTACAGTTTCTAGAACACACTTCACTTCACACAACATTTTGTAAGAAGGGCTCATCCATATCTTTGCATAAAGATGAAGTTTATTCATTTCACTGTGATAAATCTCAGCTGATTTTTCAACCAGTATCTTCAAAACCAGACAAACGATAGCAAGCTGTCCCCAGGAAACCTTGACTTGTTTTCTTTTCCAAGAAATGTGTTCAGACAGACTTCACCACCATCTAGAAACTTTTATAGATATCTTCTAAACACTTTTCCTAACATGAAAAAGAGAGGAAAATTAATTGTTTTTGTAATTGAATTATCCTATATTTGTAACACCTGAAGCAACACTTGATATTAGGTAACCAGAAGGAGTGGGCTAATTTAGGAGGAATAATTCTGATTTTAATGATGTTCAGCATCTTATATGGGACAGTCGTTGAGGGAGACGGAGATGTTAACTAGAGTCTGTGACTGCAAATAATTTGTACAAAAAGCCTAGTGAGCAGCAATTTAAAACTTACCTATCTAGGCCCCAAATATCTAAGGCTTTCTCTATTTTAAACTTATCTAAAGCATTCTTTCATTATAATTTCAGAATACTGGAAAACTCTTTTGAAAGCATATAAAAAGGGAAAATTACCTGCCTTTCAGAGGAAGTAACAAGCATGGCCCAAGTCACTGAGCCCCGTGAATGGATAGGAGTGCAAGAGGAACTTTTTATATGTGTAAAATGTAAATAATTAGAATTCATAACTAGGGCTGGCCAAATAGCTCAGTTGATTAAAGCGCCTGCAAGCAGGAGTAGGGGCCGGGGGTTCAATCCCCAGGCCTGCTGTGCCTGCCCTGCCCCTGGGGCATGCTGAGACTGCAAATGAGACTGGGTGTGGTGGGACACACCTATAATCCCAGCTCTTGGGAGGCTATAAACAGGCAAATCACTACAAGTCCCATGTAGTAGTGAGACCCTGAACACCCTGTAGGCCCTTCCCTAAAATACAAATGATAATAATGATAATAAATTTAAAGAATAAAAAATGGAATTCATAACTGAAACGGTTTCACTCATCATTGCCTGCTACCTGATGCAGAGAGAAGAGACAAAAAATATCCAAATACACTGCAATCATGGATTAGTACTAAAACCCAAATGTGTAGACAAGTGCCTTTCATAGTCTATGTCAATTTTATCTCTTAGAAAGCATGGCACAGATATTTGTGGGCTTTAGTATCCTTCTCTGGATTATTTTTGAATCCTTCTAACAATCACATATGACTATCTAGTGCCTGCTTTTATTCTTCAGTCATAAAGTCTCAATTCAATGAAAACTCAGATTGTAAAGAGCCCCAGACCCTTCCTAGACTGATGCAGAAGAAAACCTTTGCATCACTGTTGTCAATAAATGTCTTTTTGTATGGTTGTATTTTGCTTCATTTCTCTGTCGACACACTAAACTATTGTATTTGCATGAAAATGAGGCCAAAAGTTCAAATATGGTAGAGCAGAAAAACGATATCTGATCTAGAAAGCAATAAATACGGCTTGGGTTGAATTCTTGGTTCAACTGGAAGGACTGTGAAAAGTGTGATTTGCAGCAGAGAATTTTACCTTCAAATGCCATTTCCACTCAGAAGTGACAGTAAAAAGAGGTACTGCAGAGTATTGTGAAATTTCATTGGGTAATAGTTTTGAAAAATCCTCATGCAGTAGCTGTCAGTACAATTATGCAGATTCTTTTTAATTTTATTATGTTTTATATTTTTAAAATATTTTTATTCAGAAACAAATAGCAATGAGACAGTTTCACAACTGATTACTAGTACATTTTCAATGATTAATACACTGCATATTGTTGTCTTAGTGGTTATTCATTATACAAGATGCAGAACTGATATCCTGTCTGAATCACTTTCTTCATATTCTGCAAATTCTTAAGTGACCACGTCAGTGAGACACATGGACAATGGGTCTCCTTCCATGGCGGGTTTGGTCATTTGACACATGTTTGAATTCTCAGGAAGAGAATCCACCACAAATTCTTTATTGCCTCTCTTAGAACCATCTTCTTACTACCACCAAAAATATTCTCCACCAGAAAAAGAAAAAAGACAACTACTATCATTTCCACCAAACCAAAAACTCCTCCCCACTTATTTAATTTTAGACCTTGTTGAAAAATGCAAGGAAGGCCTGGCCAGATAGCTCAGTGGACTAAAGCAACTGCTTAAGCAGGCTGAGGGACCAGGGTTCAATCTCTAGGTGCGACGTGCCCCCAGCGCTCCTGGGACACGCTGAGATGGTGATTGAGACCGGGTGTGGTGGTACACACCTGTAATAACAGCATGTGGGAGGCTGAAAACAGGAGTCCAATCTGTGTAGTGAGATCCTGTAGATTCTATACTAAATACATAAGTAAAGTAAAATAAAATAAGGTAAAGAAAAGTGCAAGAAAACCTCATTTTCTCTCTGAATCAGTATTTCTTTATACTGCTTGTTATAGTCGGCAAAATATATAAACTTGCGTTATATTTTCTCACCTTTTTTTAGTCAAGATCGGTTTTCAAATGAGCCTTCATAAGTATATTTTTAAATGAAATCATACACATAAATAAAAAACCTAATCTCACATATATATGCATATATATATATATTCATACTATCGTGCATATATCAAAGGTTGAGAATTATTGCCATATACTAAAATAGCCAGAGAATTAGTTATTCCTTGGTTCTATGCCTACATCTGTGTTTGGTTAGGAATCACTGGCAATATTACTAAAAAGATGATTAAAACTATTATGTTTCAGGGTTTTTTATAGCTGAGAAATAGAGTTAATGAAGGTATATTGCTAGCTTTAGAGATAATGTACAAAAATAACTTGGCACCAAGGAAGTGCCTGCTGTATGGCATTTATTCTTATTTTGATAGGGAAAAGTTGTCATTGGCTTAGGAAATGTAGGGCCAGCTTAGATATACAAAGCGTAAAAGGAATGCAAGTTCCAGGAAGGAACTCTGGATACATAGTCTATTTTGGGGGTCAGTTAATTTCTAGGCAAAAATATAAGTAGAAGGATAGCCTTTGTTATTTGCAAGAAGTTTTACACTCAATGTGATCTTTTCCCATGCTGAAATTTCTGTTTAAAAATTAGTTCTACAGTTAAACCAAAAGACCAGGTCATCTGAAGAACAGAGCTTAACTTCCTCATCCTTTATTAATTCAGAAAAGTGGAATAAAATGTTTTAAGTAGAATATGCCAAAAAAAAAAAAAAAACCCTAGAAGGGCATTGAGAAATGGACACTTTCCTTTTTAATAAAACATGGTCTTATTTCATGTTAGGATTTTCCCTTGATAAACATTATTGGGGAAATATGATTTTTGTACTCTCAGGAGACACCTTGTGGTAGGGTCCTTTTTTTTTTTCACAATAATCATCAATAAAGATCTTTAATGCTCCCAATGCAAATTATAAATGATTGAAGTAGCAGGCATACCATTACCTTGATTTGATCATTACACATTGTGTACATGTATTAAAATTTTGCACAGTACCCATAATTTTTTTTTGTTTTGAGACAGGGTCTCACTATGCTGTTCAGGATGGCCCTGTGCTCACTTTTGTAGACCCCAGGGTGGTCTTGAACTCCCAGTGATCCTCCTGTCTCAACCACCTGAGTGCTGGGATTACAGCCATGTGCCACCATGCTATATCCATATTTAAGATAAATATGTGCAAAATGTCATCATAAAAGTAGATTAATATTAATTTAATAAAAGAAATCCAAGCTAAAGTCATTGATGATACACTTTGAATGAGACATATAAAAGAAATACTGCAGATTTATGCAATGTTTTCAATTCCCTCCTCTTCTCATGATAATCCATGGCATATGGTTAGACTCTGACTCACTCTCTCAGGTTGTACCTGTCTAATAGACGTTGTGTGCAGTCACTTTCATAGAGAAATGAAAATATGACTGAAAGTCTAATAAAAATAAAACTTTCTGCTGTCAGAGACCTATTTCAGAGACTCCTCTTCCTGCAAGTTGCAACTAACTTCTTAAACTTTTCTGCCAAGATGCAAATTGTTAAGTCTTAGGAAGCCTCAGTTTCGTCCTCTCTCAAAGGGACATAATAATAATATATTGTTCATAGTAATGTAGAGCTGCAGTGGTAAGGTTTACTATTAGCATAATTTCTGTCTAAGGGATTAATAAACATAGTTTTTAATAAAGATTTGCTAAGTGAGAGTTATCATTATCATGGTTGTTTTCATTCCTCCCGGATCCTCCGGGCACTTACTGGCC